GGTCATATCTTTTCTCCCAGAAGTAAGAAACTACTATATTTAGACATCTCCACCAAGAAGTTTCGCCTGACCTGTCTCATATCTCGTGTACTTTCCCAGAGCTGACAGCGCCTGTGCCGCCTGTTTTTTCAAAGTAAGTTTCGTAACTAAGCACTTATAGTATGGTTTGCGGCTCTAACAAATTGGTTGATAATCCCTCTCCATATAGTTGATCAGCCTCTTTGTTCCCAGGAACATTCAGAGGTTCAGAGGCCTTTATAGCAGACAGGGTGGTCCTGCCGTCTGTGCAAATTTGAAGTAGGTATTCTTGGCTTTGGCTAAAAATTCTAAAATTTTGTGTTAATACATCAGAATGGATACATATCACCCTGGAAAACAGTCGCGACAGCAAAACTCCTTGGGCTTACCGAAAAAGACAGAATTGGTCTTGTAATGAAGAATGGAGTTTGGAAACTCTCCTGTGATACATTTAAAGTCCTGACTTGTTGACTTATGCAAGTTAGAATTGAAGTTCATTCAAATACTCCAACATCAGAAATTATTGCGGAGATCATCACAATTCCGCAACATTTTTTAATTAGGGTTTTTACAAAACCAGGAAAACAGTTGCTGATTGATTTAACTAATAGAAAATTGTGAGAAAATATTACTTATTACTCATCGTATTTTTGAGATGAATACCCTTGTTATTGGTAATTTGTGCTAATATTATGATACCTTGATGCCTTGATAAATTTGTCGTTGTCGCTATGACCCATATTAATCTCATGAATCGTATGTGTTGTATGGTCGAAAGCACCCGCCATAAATGAGTTTCAAATATTTTATTATTATATATTATTTAAATTCGACGCACATGGTACCTGGGGAATCCTTCGTTTACCCCTGCGACCACTAAAAGATCGCACGCCAAGCTTGCTGTGAATTATCCTCGACTGAGGTACGGGCAGTTGTATTATCGAAGCGCAATTTGTCTTTCTTCTGTCTGGATTGTTCTTCCAGTATAAAGCAGCTGCTGAAATTAATCGACCGCGTTGGTCATATTGAAAACCAGGTGAGGGATTTGAAAAATGAAATCTCAGTGATGCCTCAGATCAGCCAGAACCTTGCGGAGTTGAGTTATCAGATAGAATCAATCAAGTCCACAAAGGTATTGGAAGCTAAGATCACTCAAATGAGCGGATCTACTTCAGATGCTTCATCTGAAGTGAAAGTAGTCAGCTTGGAACATGACACTATATGACCTGAATTACGAGACCGCCAGGGTAGAGCGAGCAATATATTGCTCTTCAATGTTCCTGTGAGAGGTGACGATGCCAGGGATATTTCATCGATTTGGAACTTGCTGACCGACGATCCTCCAGTGGCCAGCCATTTCACGAGAGTAGGCAGGAGCAACGCTAACGGTGCTCGTGCTCTGGAGGTTACATTGTCTTCACAAAGTACAGAACTTTCTCTAATGCGCCACCTTCAAAAATTAAAGGGGAAAAACATCTATTTGAATCTGGATTTAACCTCGAAACGACAACAGCTGGAAAAACAAGTATGGACTGATTTCAAGGATCGTGAATCCAAGGGGGAGGATGGAATTCGTGTCAAGTACACTAACGGTGCCCCACGGACATTAGTGTCACGGGAAACTGAGAACTGACGGCCAATGTAACAAACATGCAGCTAAAAATCTTCACGTTTACTAAAAGAATGTGCGGGAACTGCGAAGCAAATTATATGATCCTTCTTGCAGTATTTCCACAAGCGATTACCATATAATAGTACTAACTGAAACCAACCTATCGAGTGATATAACTGATGCTGAATTGAGTATGACGGATGGCACACTCAATGGGTGGTGTCTTTATTGCTATTCATAAATCTACTTCCTGTCAACTCTTACCTACTACGGCCCCTGTAGAGCAGGTATATGTGGCGATAGGATTCGCCAGGACACTGTATATTATTGGATGCGTATATTTGCCACCAAACTCTCCTGTGGACAGATACCTAATGGTCAGCGACAGCATCGATTCTCTGTGCAATGCATATCCACTTGATGGGTGACTTCAATCTTCCCAAGGCGGTGTAGATCGATGATGACCTTTGTTCTGCAGCCATTCTGCGGGGCGAGGCGTATGTTCCACCACAGGCAAGAGGCGATCACGACCATCTCAAATATGTGTGCCTTCCACAACCTCATTCAGTTGAACTACTTGGGCAATCATAATATCGTTATTTTAGATTTAGGGTTGAGTCCTGTCAAATTTATTGTACATTCTTTTAATCCTTTAGTTCGGATGGATGAACATCATCTACCTCGGAGAAATGAGTTTTTAATGGTTACTTGTGTTCTTTCGATTGGGAAACAATTCTCTCTAACATGAACGTTGATGACATGTTGGGCGCTTTCTATGACATATTGTACATTGCCCTGAATGCTTTCGTTCCGCTCAAAAAAGCTGCAAGCGGTAAGTTTCCGCGATGGTTTTCCCGAGACGTGATCAATTTGACAATTCAAAAAAAGAGGGCTCATAAAAAATACAAATCCAGTGGTTCATATAGGGATTACCAGCTTTTTTCAGGCCCGCGGTCACATCACAATGTGGCATATGCTATAGAAATTATATCCAGAGTATTGAATCCGCGGTTCAAGATGATACTAAACACTTTTGGAATTTTATAAACTGTAAGCGCAAGACAAAGGAACTGCCTGGTGTCATTAAGTTCGATGATGCTTGTGCTGAAATGGGCCCTGAGGCAGCTAACCTTTTTGCCGATTATTTTGGTTATGTTTACTCTGTCCCCAAACAGAGTTTTTATCAAACAACATTATCAACATTAGCAACTATCACATTTTAATCTCCGATATTTATACTGAATTGAATGGTTTAAAGACAGACAAGGGGCCCGGACCAGACAACATCCATCCTTTTTTCCTAAAAAACTGCTCTTTCTAGACCTCTGCAGATTATTTTTAATGAATCATAGAAACAAGGCCACTTTCCTGGATTTTGGAAGACTAGTTTTGTGGTTCCTATTCAAGACTGGTGATAAATCCGATGTCCGCAATTACAGACCTATCAGTATTTTGAATGTGATTCCAAAAATTTTTCAAAAACTTGTTTCTCGGTACTTAACTCCGGTGATGTCAACGGTGATAATTGGCGAGCAATATGGATTTTGCCCCCGGAAAATCACAGAACTAAACCTTCTTACATATTCTCACTCGGTGCTTGAAGCTTTGGAAAGCGTCTCGGAGGTTCATTCTGTTTACACGGACTTCACCACGATAGGGTTCCCCACACGCTTTTGTTGAACAAGATCAGAGCACTGGGTATATCGGGTCCACTACTGGGGTAGATCAGGATCTACTTACTTGATCGTACCCAATTAGTGAAGGCGAATAATTTCCTATCTCGTGAAGTTTCTGGATCATCAGGAGTTCCTCAGGGATCCCATGTAGGTTCGCTTCTTTTCAATCTATTTATAAATGATACTTCCAACTGTTTTTTGTCCTCTAAATTTCTCCTATTTACGGATGATTTCAAGCGGTTGTTACTTCTGAGGATTGCCAGTTGCTGCAGGATGATCTCAATAGATTTACACAATGATGTCGCAACAATGGAATGGAGCTCAATGTGTCCAAGTGCAAGCTGATGAAATTTTCTAGGTTGCGTCATCAAATTAACTCTAATTACCTAATCAATGGGGAGATTCTATCATCTGTTGCGACTATCAGTGATTTGGGTGTTACTCTTGACCCAGCTCTCTCATACAGAGCATACATCGAATATAATAAGGAAGTCACTTATGATGTTGGGTTTCCTCTCTTAAGATTCTCTATTACAATTGTTTTTGGATTGAAGTATGCCTCTTCAGTTTTGAACCCCTTATATGCGAATAACATGCACAGACTTGAACGTGTGCAGCGTAAGTTTCTGCATTACATAAATTGCAAATTCTTTAATAACGACGATTTCCATTATGAGTCTCTGTGTCGTAGGCTGAACCTTTTACCATTGTCGAAAAAAAGACGAAACAGGGATCTTGACAATCTTTATAAGATTCTTAAGTCTCTGTCAGATTGCCCTGACTTGCTTGCAGATATAGGCCTTTATATGATCCAAGTAAAATGACTCGAAGCCGCTATATTTCCAATGTGTCATTTCATCGCACTAATTATGCAGCACACTCTTTCATTCCTCGCTCAGCTGCTTGTGCTAATAAATTTGCTGATTTTGACTTCTTCTGCACTTATAAATTGTTTTTGTCTCAATTAGCTCGCCTAGAAGGTGTTTAGTGCTTAGGTATTATTATCTATTGTATATTATATTTTTTTCATTTTATTACATTTTATTGTCAGTAGATATATATTTGCTAGTTTAGGTATTCAGTGTAAAATGGACAGCATTGTCCGTTAATAAATAAATAAATAAATAAATAAATAAATAAATAAATAAATATACTGAAATTTCGATTCGTTGGTTATGATTATATTCGATTTGCTTTTTCACTTTTCTGTGCATTCCCTTGCCCGGTAGATGTATCTTGAGCAATAATCTTTTTTTTTTTAAGGCAGCTAACGTTTTCCAACGTGGTTTCCCTGAAAGTCTATATTTGCTTAAGTTAATTTGGTGTGAGAATATTTTGAGAAAAAAATTACTAAAAATATATGCAAAAATATCGTTTTTGAGATCCAAAATGCAAATTGAATTGAGTTTTTAGAAAATTGCCTCACAATTCTATTGAATGATAATGCTTCCTTGAGCTTAAGCATGGTTCTGTTTGGATACATGAAAAATAAAAACAATTTTAACCATCAATCCCATATAAAGTTGGTTGTGAAGCCAACCTTATAATGACAAAAATGTATAGGTTTTTTTGAAATTATGGACCGCAATTTGGATCTTAAAAATCAAAAAGCCAAAAAAGTTAGATCTTTAAGAAAAAATCAATACCAGCAACCACCAAAAGTAATAATTATTAACTACTAAAGAAATAAGCACCTGTTTCTGTGCCATCGCTTGCATCTGTTGGAACATGGCGCGTTCTTCTTCTTTACCTAGAACAGAGTCGATACCACGCGGAATTAGTCCTAAACGGAAAATAACATGCCTTCTCACGAAGGCTGTCCAGGATAAACAGTTACAGAATACCCTCACAGAGACCACACCAAATTCAATAAAATTAATATATGCCCACTGCAGTCATTATCTCTTTGCTCCAATACAATAATTGTTAAGGCATGATAATGTACCTATGCCGTCAAAATACTTTGAGTAAGTTCTGCGTGGTGTCTGTGGCAACATTACATGAAGATTGATGATGGGCGAAGATGGACGATGATTTTTGATGGCTGTAACTATGCTTGACTGATGATTTTTCCGGTGCTACGCTGATGAGACAGTTATTACCAAAAACATGACACGAGTTAGGTTTAAAAAAGCCAATAAACAAACCGTATAATACACCTTCTGTGAAAAAATGATAAGGGATTAATGAAAAACAGTAGGTAAGTATCTTATCCCTATTTTATGCAGATTATATTTCCAGCCACACTATGAAACTTGAATCTCCTTCTTCTGTTTCATATATATTTTTTAAAAAATACATTTTAGTCTAGAAAAGTATAATTTTTCCGAAATCTGGTTCTAAGAAATTAAAAATTTTTTGGATGGTTTAAGGAATGGCTAATTCCTGTTTTGTTTTTGCCTCATTGCCAGATTGGTCGGTTTTCTATTAATATTGATCTTGTTTTTATTTATTTTTTAATTGCAACACACTGTATATTCAAACTCAGTACAATGCATGTCGCATTTTGGATTTCAAGTAGGTAGAGTGTAAATCGAATGGTCAATATTCTTCTCATTTTGACGTTTGAAAATTACATTATTGAACGTGCCTGCTGTAACGCTCTTTTGTCGGAACAAAAAAATGCTCATAATTGTGCTCGACTATGCTCAAAGGTTCTTTAGCTTGGGGTGGTCCTTGGTGTTAATACAGTAAAGAGAGGGCGCCACTAGTTTGTATAAAATTATTTTGATTATCAATGAATAGCCAAACTATAATTAGCTATTATTTAAAAAGATAAATACAAAAATCTGTAAAGGTAAAACAAATCCAATACCTATCTGACATTTAACCCCTTCAATAAAAACACAAGTTTTGGAATTCTAAAAACAATAATTTATTGACCGGATGGCGAACTTGTTGTTCATTAACATTGAAACAAGTGAATTGTTTAAAGGTGATTATTGTTTAGTATCCAATTTTATTAAAACAATTTAAGCAGCTTACGGGAAGCAATACTTAATTTGAATAGGTATATAAAAAGATTGAAATTAAAAACAATTGAATAGATACCTACGATGAGGCTTAATTGTAAAGTGCAAGTACTGAAGTCAAAAAAAAAAAATTAAATGAAAATAACATTCAATTTTGGAGTGAAAATGAATCAAATCAATAAAAAAATCATCAATGCGGAAAGATAATAAATAATCCTTAGGCAGTTTTAAATGTCAAAGACAGGCTATATGAAATCAAGGGTGTCGGGATGAGCTCAACCTTCTTACCTGTAATTAAAGTTCAAAATAGGTAAACATAAAACTTAAGTTTGACTACCTAAAGATTTTACATTAGTATACCTTGTAGAACTACTACATTGTTATTGATTTGGAATTAAAAGTTAAATGATTATTTTAAAACTTAATGAATCCACAATATATTGTTATACCGATCAGTACTCGATATTAATTTTTAGATACCTAATGAATAATGATAAAGAAAACGATAATAAAAGCTAATATTTGACTCTAATAATAATTAATTAAAAAGCTAAACACTACTATAAGGTAAACAATTTAAGTCGGTAATTGAATTTACATAGATATTGATTGGCTAATAAAGCTAAAAGATAGGGGGCGATAAAGAAAAGGTAAAAATAAGTAACGGTAGTTAAGATGGCACGTTTAAGACACCCATAGGAAAATAAATATACAAGTCTGGACGAAATCCTTGTAAAGCCTCGGAAGCTTTCACAAATTTGAGCTCTGGCGGTACCAAACTGGCTGGAGACAACCAAATAATGGTTGGGGATCAACTTCTTACAGGATACAAACTTTCCTTGGAAAGTGGGCCCAGATTTACTCTGAGTTTCAGGACAGCGTGGTCTCAAATTTGTCAATTTTCGCTTAGAGAAAGAAGTGCCTTCAAGGATTTTTCGTCCTGCCGAAGCTGCCTGAATGAATTGAGGGGATATAAGGACTCATTCATCAGAGAGAAAAATAAATTTATACCTGAACGGCCGATAGTAACCGAACTTTCAAAAAATCTTCAGAAAAGTCAACAATCGGTTGATTTTCCAGGAAATTTTCGAGCAGACACGAGCGAGCACTCTCCTGGGTAGTTATTCGGTAAGAATATTGACTAGATGGCCAAAAATAAAGGTAAAGTTTTCCGATATTCCCACAACAGTTGCTAACTTCGGGATTGGATTACATTGAAGCACTAACGAAGCACTAACCATTTGTCTGTAAATGAACGTTGGTGCTTTCCATATTCCTGCAAGGCGTGAAGTAAGCAGGGGATTTCTAAAAACCGTAATATTTCTGAAATTCAACGTTAGAATTTTTGAAAATATTGGGGTTGCTAATTTGGGGATTGAAGCATATTGAAGCACTAACCATTTATCTGTAACTGAACGCTGGTGCTTCCCTTGTTCCTACTGGGTGTGAAGTAAGCAGGCGATTTCAAAATACCGAAATATCTCCTAAAATACAAGGGTTGCTAATTTGGGGATTGAAGCACATTGGACCACTAACGAAGGGCTGAACAATTACGTAAAATTGAACTCTTGTGCTTTAAGTGTGCCTGCCTACTTCCCAGAGCCCTGAACTCGACCCAGAAATAAGTACAACTTCAGGCAGGAACGTGTCAGTTTTCCAGGCAGAGCTGCTTGGATGCAGGGAGCTGTACAAATACAGGAAAGGAGGATTATGGGAACAACCATCGCCCTTCTCACAGTATTGCAAGCAAAATTCCTATATGCATGTGATAATTGCCAGATAAAACCCATTGGAACCACTTGAACATGACCTCTGATGACCGCCCACATAAAAGTGAAAGAACATCCATATTCTCAGAATATTCCCTCAAAGTGCTTTTTGGACTGTTCTTTTAGGAATGTTTAATGAATATTCCAAGATTGTATCAATTGAAATATTCATATTTTGACGTTCTATTTATGTACTAGGTATGTTGCTTCTATGCACCTACCTGAAAGATTGTGCTAAGAACCTACCTTATATAACATTATTTGAATATTGTCAGACGAATATTATTATAATGTACCCTGAAAAATGTTCTTTCGGCTAATATCTCTATCAAGTATTAAGAATATACCTACCAAGTTGTGCTGAGAAGTTTATGTAGGTAGGTAACCATGATAAGAATATTTTCATATTGTTCACCTAATTATCTAAAGTACCTACTCAAAAATCTTAATTGAACAATTAAACAATAATGCTCTATCTAGAACCTACTAAAAATATTATAGGTATATTCTTTTTCTTTTGCTTTGTAGGACTTCCAAGAGAGGGAGCCACGCGCTATTAAAGATTCACATCTTGCCTAGCGTTTGAATCACCTTGGAACCTGTTTCTCTCAGTTGACGTGCTTACCGCGACGAGAGCATACAAGCTCGCAACCGGAGCTTTGGTTAAACACTTGTGTTTTCCAGAGAAGTTTTCCAACAACTTTTTCACTGCCTCTCATATGAAAGGACTAAAAGGGGCATTATTTGGATGCGAAAATTAACATTCCAAGTATATTCCTAGAATCAAACAAGAATGTTATGTCGAGGATGCATATTGAGAATGATATAATAATATGTAAACATTCTAAGAATATTTCAAGCATATTGGTATAATATTCTTTTGAGAACATAACTATAATACTATAACTATAATGTCATAGAAACATTCTTTGAATGTGAGAATATACATTTCAAGAATATTTTTAGGATCAAACAGGAATATTCTTTTCAGGATGTACTGAGAATCTCATAGGTATATTCTAGGAATATCTTAGTGGATTTCCCAGGAAGTTCTTGGGTATTGCAAACAGTATTTCTACAATCTTTTCTCAGAACATTCTCAGAAGATTCGCAATGATTTTGGCGAACATTCTAGGCACATTCCTCCTAAAAAAAGAACATTCCCAGTACATTCTAAGGATGCAATCTTGTTATGTGGGCGGTAAATATTTTCACATTTGGTTAACCAGATTTCAGGAAACCGTGGTCCAAAAATATTTCCCATTTAAATAGCCATATTAATTTGATTGGTTTGTGGCCGCAAAACCACAAACCAGCTTTTATTCGAATCCTGTCCCTATCCTGAACCCACCTACAAGTTTAGTTAACTGAAATTCCGACCAGCTTCTAATAATTCTCAAAGGTGTACCTTCGTGTGCTATGGGATTTGTTTGGCTCCAGAATGAGACCAGGCTCTCTTTTTTTGCACTTGTGAATATACAATGTTTATAAAAGAAAAGAACACAAAACAATGACTACGCCATTGCCAAACTGAAAAAGCTTTCTCTAGAAGCAGGTAGGTAGTTTCCTTTTAAACCAAATTAGAGTGGTGATAACAGGTATTGTTATTTTAGAATTATTTTAGGTACCTATGGATTTAAATGTCTCAAGCATATTTTTAATTTTATTATAGGCAGAAAATTTTTGAATAGATACATTTCGTTAGATGACCATATTCATGGTATTCAAGCAGGAAAAAGTTCCTGTCCTGCTTGTTCATTTGATAATATCTGATAAATCACCCCTCCGATCCCATTATTTCATTATGGAGCCAACACATATTGATCTCTTCAGCAGTTTAAAGCTCGATGGTAGCTACTTACTACTATAGTATGTTCATGAGAGAGTCGACAGACAGTAGTTGTGGTTATGTTCTTAGGCGCAAACAAAGTTACAGAGTATCTACATATTACGTTATTGAATTCATGTGGTCATCGATAGTGTCTAAATTCAGAATGCGTTTCAAAAATTACCACCACAAAAAAAAACATTTTTGGCATTGCTTGATATAGAAGACCCGCACTTGTAGAAGAAGCTGTACAGATAACACACATTGTAGCTGCACTAAAAATCTACACCCTTTCCATAAGTATTTCAGAATGTATCACTCGTATTTCAGATTTATCAAGTCTAGTCCAGAATCCGTCAATTATATTCCAGTTGTCTAAGTTTAATTTCAGAAAGTGTTATTTGTATTTCAACTTTTTCAGTTGTAGTTCAGAAAATCTCATTTGTGTTTCAGTTTGGTCAGTTGTATTTCAGAATAAGTCATTTGTATTTCGGTTTGTTCACTTGTATTTCAGAAAGCGTCATTTGTGTTTCAGATTTCGTCAAATAAATTTCAGATGTTATCAATGTAGTGTATTTAATGAAATTTATAATGGTTCACCTATACACCATGCTTGTGTTGATTTGGAAAAATCTGTTCTTATATTATTATTATCTGAAATACAACTGATGATTTCTGAACTAACTACATCTAACAAATTCTAAAACATAATTCACGTTTTCCGAAATACAATCAACGAATCTAAAATACAATTGACGTTTTCCGAAATAAAATTAACTTATCTGAAATACATTTGACGCTTTCTGAAATAAAATATACACTAATATGAAATACAATTAACTCTTTCCGAAATAAAATTAAATAATCTGAAATACAATTGACGCTTTCCGAAATACAATTTACTAATCTAAATTGCAATTGACGCTTTCTTAAATTAAACTGAAGGTCTCTGAAATACATATGGAAAAGGTGTAGTAGACGAGGAAGTATGGAATGAAGTCCGGAGTCTTGTAGAGTTAAAGAAATGAATTATATTTTAATGCCCTCCCTAGCTACTTGAAATCACAATGGACATATCATTGAACGTAGATTACAGGGTAGATGTTATGTATGGAACATTTTGAAATGCACTACTCTTAGATTCTTTCATAGGTTTGTGATCCTGAGCTTCTTTAAAATATGTTTGTTTATTGGCCTTTTTCTTCTTGTGACAGCAATTTCCCAACATTTTGATTAAATATTTTTGAAAAATAGTCATTATATTTCAATATTAGCTTATTTTTTAAGAAGGTTTTATTTAATGCTGTGAAATCATGCCAATAAATTATCTTATGAATAGGTATGTACATTGTAATCAAATAAAAGTAGTACAAAAATTATCAACTCCAATTTGAGCTCAACATACAAATTAAATAAACAATTCAAAATATGTTGGGTTTGGGCAATGACATATTAACACAGATAGGCAGCATGGACTAGGAGATTTTGAAGATTTTTGCTGTACTATTTTTTTTTTGATCGCAATAGTACTCAATTATACTAATATTTGAAAAAAAAGGAAAGGAGCTTTGTAAATTTTGCGCACCTTTCCCATTTCTATGAAATAAATATTAGCTTGTTATAATAGGAACCTAGGTACGCTAATTATAAACTTCTCATGGATATTAATTCTTATCTAAAATATGACACGGATAAACGACAAAGATATTATATTATGAATAGTGAAGGGTGCAAGAAGGGGGATAAGCAAGATAGAGATAATGACACATAAATGGCAGGCATCAGAATATACAGACTCACCCATTCCTTTATTCTGGAGCATTTCCAACAATTTCTTGATACTCTCATCTCGTGCCTGGAGGGTTTGTTTTTGTGTTTCTATACGAAGTTCCAGTTCCTGAAAATAAACATAACAGAGATTACGTGAAACAGTTTTGTAGTTTTTGAGTTAAATGGTATTTCGCATAGAGCATGTGAATATGTAAAACAAGTTTTTATGCTTAGATAAAAACGATGCTTAATTATTGTTTGTTTTAAGCATGATTTCCACTTCTAAATTTTTCTATTTCCTAGGTATATTTTTATTCCCTCTTGATTTTCAAAGAAGTTGCACCGCGGCCACAATTGTATTATGAGGCTTTATGGGAAGAAGAGAAAAGGATCGTGTACTTAAGGGACTACTTCAAATGTGGCATTCTTACATGTTAATTATGTGTCATCACCCAGGATGAAAATAGAACATACTTTTCGCGTAGTGAGAGACCTGCACATTGTAATTTCTTATAAAGTTGTCTACTATGTCAGCGGCACAGGTTATTTTAAAAGACGATAAATGAAAGTTATGAGGTCATAAGCCTACTCGACATAAACTTTTAGAAGTATATGAAATCTGTAAAAACCTACCATGAAGCAGACATTCATAGTTCTTGAAAGTTGAAAAAGAGAAAGTGGCAAAAAAAATAGATTTCACACAATTGAAACGATAGCGAAACCGGTATAGAGTAAGGACGTTGAAGGAACATGGAATGCTTTGAAAAAGAAAATAACAAAGATCCAAGAAAAATACATTCTTCTTCAAGTACCATGTTCTCCTTGAACGTTGGCTATCATCAGCGCTATTTGCATCTTGTCCACTGCTTTTCTGAAAAGTATAGTTGTACTAACATCATATATACCATTGTCTAAAATTTTTTATCCATGATATTCTTCTAAGGCCTGGACCTCTTTTTCCTTCAATTTTTCCCTCTATTATCAGTTTAAGGAGTTCATATTTGTCATTTCGTAAAATGTGTCCAAAATTTTCAAGCTTACGTTTTTTGATGGTGAATAAAAGTTCAAGCTCCTTATCTATTCTAAGAAAAACATCCGCGTTACGTACTCTGTCCATCCAAGATATTCTGAGTATTCTACGATAGCACCACATCTCAAATGCTTCCAATTTTGCTTGGAATCAGTTAATATCCACGCCTATACACCGTAATATAAAATGCTAAATACATAACAACGAAGTACACGAATTCGGAGAGTGCTATTAAGATCGCGACTACACAACACTGACTTCATTTAAATGAAAGACGATCTGGCCTGTTCGATTCTTGCCCGGACCTCTTGCATGTTGTCCCAGTTTTCATTGAGCTGACAACCCAGGTATTTATAAGAATTAACGAGTTCGATTTGTTGGCCATTGACTTCTAATATGCTCCTAATGTTCCTTTCTCTAGCTATAACTATCCATTTTGTTTTTCCTACATAAAAGTTAAGTCCAAATTGCGAGCTTTTGCCTGAAACTTTATTTAGAAGCTCCTGCAGACGTTCCAGTGTACCTGCGAAAATAACTGTGTCATCGGCATATCTTAGATTGTTGGTCCCTATGCCAAAAGTGCTGTGGTCTCAACGATGGCATTTTTGACATCTGTCCAGACTTTTTCTGCATCTTGTTCAATGTTCAACTCTATTGGCACCAAACGACAACAGTCGAAACAGAACAAACAACATCGGATGATATATGGATCAGATGGAGAGTCCGTCTCCACTTCTGTATTCGGAGTCTATATTTGAAGGTGAGGCCCAAGAGGGAATTGAGATCAACGGAACTCTGATCAACAACATTAGGTACGCTGACAATACCGTCCTAATAGCAAACAACGTACAAGAGATACAAAATTTAACCAATTTTGTAGTCCGTCATAGCGAAATGTTCGGCTTACATCTAAACGTCTCCAAAACCAAAATAGTAGTCTTTTCAGACACCAATAGACGCTTTTGTCTACATGTCGAGGGCAAACAATAAAACAGGTATCTTCAATAAAATATCCGGGAGCGAATATCAATAGCCAGTGTAATCCGAAAAAAGAAATACCATCAAGAATTGAACAAGCGAGGAAAACACTAATGTGCTTAAAAACATTTTTCACAAGATCAGACCTTAGTCAACTTAGAGCTTAACTCGGATGGTCAGATGTTATGTTTTCTCAGTCTTACTCTATAGATGCGAAACCGACAGCAGAAAAAGAATAGAGGCTTTCGAAATGTATATACGAATTTCATGGATATATAGGATCACGAACGAAGAAGTACTCCAACGCATGAATAAACAAAAATAAATGCTAAGCACCATTAAAAAGAGGAAAATGCAATACTTGGGTCACGTGATGATAGGTAAAAGTTACGAGCTACTCCGACTGATAATAGAGGGTAGAGTATAAGGTAGAAGATCAGTTGGAACACGCCTGAACTCATGGCTGAAGGATCTAAGAAGCTGGTTTGACCGATCATCTACAGAAATCTTCCGTGACGCAGTTTCCAAAGCAACAAATGTTATTTGGATCACCAACCTTCAAAGGGAAGAAGAAAATTGTTTAGTTTCTATTTTTCAATATGCCTGACTCCCAGTAAAAACCTTCAGTAGTTTTTAAAGTAACCAATTTCACCACCTACGGATGGCATGCCTGTGAGGTTCTTGTGGTTGTTAAATAACTTCTGTTAGCTGGAATGAGGTTAGCCAGATCGTCAGAAAATCTCCCATGGCAATAGCGATAGAACAACGACAATCCGTCACCTTGCGTCTATATTCAAGAGATTGCAGACAATCGGTGAAAGTTGGATTAACGATCATTTTTATTGCGGACACATTCGCATTAACTGATTCCATGAGCAAAAAATTAGAAGCATTTGAGATGTGGTGCTATCGTAGAATGCTCAGAATATCTTGGATGGACAGCGTACGTAACGCGGATGTTCTTCTTAGAATAGATAAGGATCTTGAAGTTTTATTCACCATCAAAAAACGGAAACTTGAATATTTTGGACACATTTTAAGAAATGACAAATATGAACTTCTTAAACTGATAAAAGAGGAAAAAATTTAAGGAAAAAGAGGTGCAGCCCGTAGACGAATATCATGGCTAAAAAATCTTAGACAATGATATGGTGTTAGCTCAACTACACTTTTCAGAAAAGCAGTGGACAAGGTGCAAATTGCGCTGATGATAGCCAACGTTCGAAGAGAACATGGTACCTTGAAGAAGATGAAGACACATTCGTCCGACCGCAACTACGAAGTGTGCCGCCATCCCACATCCCCCACGCTTCCCTGCCAACGTCATAGAATTCCAAATATCATCTTTTCTACGACTAGGCGCAAACAATGTCATTCCCGCACTCATTTATATTTATCAAAATTGATACCAGCAAATACTACTTTGTCACTGTCACGTTAAAAGAGTGAGACTCAGTTAACTATTTCTATTTTACGTTAAGATGAAGTTGAAAAATATTAGGGGACGATTCCATTTACCTGGAAGTTACGATACTGAAACTGATGATGAAGTTGCATTTATTTATGAATTTGAATCAGAGACGCAAACATTGGATATGCCCCAGGAACAAGTGAAACTTGTATTGGTCAACCAGTTGAAAAAATCTGGCTAATGTAAAAGAAGTAAGCCATCGAATAAGAACAGCGACAAAGAATAGAGGCAAGGTTATTCGGATTTTTAAACTAAAAATGGTAAAAAAAATCTTTCAGAGAATGTCTATGATTGTGAAAGTTTGGCTCGTTAATGATTAACACCCATTAAATTTGATGACAAGAGATATCTTATCCATTCATCATCATCATCTCAATAATTTTACATCTTGATATGTAATGAAGCACAAGAGTGTAGGTTTTGAATATTTGCCAAGAAACTGGAACGATTTCATTTACCTGAAAATCACAATGGTGAAAGTGGTGATGATTTTGCATTTAACACTGGTTTAGATGTGACAATGGAAGAGAAAAACTCTGTCGTGAATTTTGCTCAGCTGGAGGTGATAAAATAAAATACACAGAAGCAGGCGTACACCAAAACAAAATGGGGTAACGGAAAGCTTTAACAGAACCGTAATGGAATCAGCAAGTGGCCTCATATCTGAATTGAAACTGGACAAAAATATTCTATAACCTTAAAAACAACTGTACCTATATTTAATGAATCGAATGCCAACGATAGTTCTGGAAAATAAAACTGTTCCAGCTGAAATTTGATTTGGTTATAAACCTAATTTGGAAGAGGTTGAAGTATTTGGATTAAGAAAACATGATGTGATTAACTAAACGTACCAAGAGAATATCCAATGAGCTAGATGAAAGGTCAAAATTATTGTTTATGATGAGATACCTATACAGCAAAAAATATCAGCTCTGGGACAAAGGATCTCTGAAAATTCTGGTTGCCAGAAATCCTAGATGCAACGAAAGTAAAGAGAATAGAATAAAACTATGAATTCCAAGTAGTTTCAGATTTAGAAAATAACGATTATAAAATTGAAAGTCCAAGAAAACAAAAAAGCCACATTCAGGATAAAGAGCAAAATGAGCCAGAAAATCAAAATGAATTGATATTAATGAGAGTCCAAGACAACCAGTATATAGGAGAAAAAAAAACTTCCTATAAGACTGAGACTATAAGATTGAGTTATTTGCAACACTGTATCTAATCATATCATCAGACTTCCAGAAAATTGTGTTAAAGCTTTTGCAGTAGAGGAGGTTGGGGAAAAACCACGAAGGAAGAATTGGACATTGTTGTAGACAATAGAAGTTGGGAAATTATGGGTTTTTACAAAAGACGAAAGAGATGGAAAAGTTATAAAGAAGAAAATATTTGGTTGAACGAGGTTTTCTGTCAGATTTACACTAGTGGCAAGGATGTTAACCATCAGAATTGTCTTATCACTTTGACGAAGATTTATGCGATGTTTGTACATTATCAGCTAAGCACGATATAGATTCTTTTATTTCACCAGCATACTGGTATACTGAGCTTATTATCAAATGCGTCAAATTCGGTTTCTTTACTAAAGCGGATTCGTAGTTGAATGAGATAACTTTTCCTAATTTGAATAAATTTTCTCGAGAATAGAAATCCCTGTTCAATCGACAAATCGCCGGTTGTACGAATACGACAATTGGGTTCAAACGCTACCTCTGTTTTTCTATAACAATATTATTTGCTTTTAATCGAATATTAAACCAAACGCATGACGTTCTGTATTTTCACGCGAACAAAATTTTGCCATTAAAATTAACCTGATAAATATTCGAAAATAAAATTATAAACTGGGGCACTCTAATAATTATATTGATTACTTTGATGCAGAATATCATGAATTGGATTATAGAAGCCGCAGAGACAGATTTGCTCTAAATAGCAACCAAAAAGCAAAAGCAACCATTAGACTTGACTGAAAATATTTATCTTAAAAGAGGAATCAGACAGAAAGTGATGATTTCACCAAAGGCATTCACAGCTCCGAGAGTGATTACGAATAATCTCGCCTGGTCAAATATGGGGGTTACCTTTGATATGCCAATGGTTATAGTATTACAGAAGTACATAAGTGAAACACACATATCAAAGAGAAATGGTAAATTTAGATTCAGAGTTTGAAAAAATAGCTCTTGAAACATAATGAACCTTAACGAAAATTTGAGTCATTATGAAATGATAAGCAAATGGTAACATTGCAAATGCTACAGTCCCTCGCGTATTGACTCCTATAAGTCCACATTTGACGACAACTGCGAACTGCTAGCCTCGATCTACCTTGATTCAAGGCTAGAATCTGCAACTTCCATGTACAACTTCCCCCGTCAAGTGAAAATGGATGGCTGGATGGCTATCGTAATCCACCTTTTGTTGGAATGGAGGCTTGTATAAAGTTTTTATAATATCGTTTATTTTATTTATTTTTTTCTCTTTATTATACAATTACGTAGCTCGTGCATTAGAAGTTGTCCAGTTTGCAAGTGGGATAGTAGAAATAGCATCTAATCCATCTGTCTGCAAACTAATGCACGGGCTACGTAAATCACCCTGTATATTTTATGTTCAATTAACATAATTGATTGAACCTTTACTGATATGACATTTGAATATTTAAAATTTTATTTTCGCTTTCTTGACACCGAGGTGATGGTGGAATAATTGCTTTTATGGATTTTCGATTTATCGAATTTATTATAGATTTATCATTGCTTAACTTCCAATATTGCCATATTTTGGAAATGTAAATCTTATTATTCATAATCAATAATCTGAACTGAAGTCAAGATTAGACAACATGCTCTTAAAATTTTTGAGTAAGTACCTACATCGTCGAAAATTGATCAATTTTTAAGTTGGGTCCTATATTTATATATTTGGGGATTTCTATTATATTTCCTGACTATTTAAACCAGCTTTTGATTTCATACAGGTGTAAGTTAATTTTATTGAATTTATTTTTCTGGCAGCAGCTAAACATATTTATCCATATAATATTATAATTTGCATTCCTTCATTCTTTTTTCTGATTTTTTCATTAATTTTCTGGAAACTTAAATCCTTCATATTTTTATTTCAAATTAATAATATGGTCAGCGACTGTTAATGAATTTAAATATCAACTATATTGATGCACATTGTAATATTATTTTTTTTTTGAGTTTGATAAATCTGATTGAGGGTTAACCTCCATTTATTAAATTTATTTAAAGTGTTCCAACAACAATTAATTTTATCTTTTAAAATTTGATGCTTGACTTTCAACCTGACTGTGAAAATATACCCTAATTTGATTTGAAACTTACTTAATTTTTTTATTGGTTTGCGTATGTCATGATTTGGTTGAGTTATATGCCTTTTTTATTTCCTTTTCGGAATTATTAATTACCGTTTGCTGATTTTTTTTTTCAGGTGTGTTTCCGAATTTTCACACCCCAATATTTTATGAAATTTAATTTTTTTTAAATTCAGTGGCGCCCTTGCCATTCTGTACTCATTAAACTATTGACCTACCCCTAATAATTATTCGCTGAGCAAACTGAGCAACAAAACGGGTTACAAAATGGAGAATGCTAGTGATGATCTAGGACCGCGGAAAACGCTAGGTAAGCAAAATAACGTGACCGAAATAAAACGGAACTAAAAACTGGGTTGTTCAGCACAGAGCAACAAAAATGCCACAGCCTCTGACGACAAGACGATCGATGCGTGGTGGTTGTTCTGATGAAGGAGGCACAAATATGGACATACAAGACAAATCGTGGAACGATCTATGATCGACGTTTAGCTGAGATATATTAGGTAACGGAACGAATGGATGTCCTCGCAAGAATGTGCCATCTGAAATGGTATGCCGGTCACCTGGTGAGAACCAGAGCCAACAGATGAAACTGCAAGGTTTTCAGGTAGGGGATTTGGGGAGAAAGAAAAATTCAAGAAAGACTACCCAGGCATAATGCTCAATGCTGAGTACACAGGGTGCAGGTCTCAAATGGTTTATAAGGCTTAAAAAAAAAGAATAGAGAGACAATCTTCATAAATATAAATAGCACTTGATAACATTCTTACGAGGGTTTTATGCATCTAATATAAGCACCCTTGAGGATTTATCAAATATCTAGGTACAAACTTATTCTGTTGTTTGGAGAACTATTGGAACGTGTTCTGTTATTTGAAATAACTATTGGAACATAGTGGGAGGCGGGGCTGGACCAGTACAATAAAGACCGCGCGAGGCTCTTGTTGTGCTAGTGCCGGCTCGTGCAAATCCAGTCATTTTGATGTGGTTACAATATATTAAAGTTCTATATATTTCAATTGGGTTCTATTTTATTCCTAAACCCCAATATAACAAAACTGATGTTTCATTTTGCGGCATAATACTTTCTCCATCTTACCACTTGTCAAGATACAAGACACATATGCAGTTAGATCTGCAATACAATAAAGTCCGTAGATTTTAATCTGATAATCGAAAGAAATGTGAGCTGGTGGCACTCTATATTAAAACGCCTGACGTCACACCTCTGTTTTTGCCATATACTTCACCCCCTCGCTCCTCATACGGAAAGTGTCAGAAAAAAAAACGACGGACAATACTTGCATGGTGTGAGACTGAGAATATGTGCTTTTTACAAGGAACAGGAAGCTTGACCATCTGATACCCCTTAACCTACGAAGGGTGATGGTAGCCGATCTAGGCAGTGTAGTGGTTAGTGTATCTGCTTCGCATGCTGCGGGTCTCGGGTTCGAATCCCGGCTTGGGCATGGTTGTTTGGTTGTTTAACCGGCTCTTTGGCTTGGCGAGAGGATGGGAACGGACTTTCTCAGGCTTGCGTGATGTCGGTGGAGTCTGACCATGGATTGCGAATCGGACCATCTTAGGGTGGGGGATGCATGATAAGGCCGACCATTTAGACTCTAGTATGAATGGGAAGGAGTAGAGTATATGCAAATGATGTACAATAAGCCACAATGAGCAGAGCATTGGCTCGAAAGGGTTAAAAAAAAAGTGGTGGTAACCTTTGCAAACGAAGTCAAATAACTAGGAACTACGAACTACTCAAGATAAAAGGCTCATCTGGAACCTCCATCTGGCAAATAAAACAGAAAGCTAGCTACTCACTATGGACCTGACGCAGGATCAGTGGCAAACCATGGGAAATTGGGCTCAAGCAAATATACTGGTTATATAATATCATGGTTAACATAGGGCTCGGTAGTCTGGTGGGAAAAGGGGCAACAGCGCACCTCCCAAATCATGCTCAACAGACTACAAAGATATTTGGAAAATGTCAATAACAGGAGCTTTAAGCACTATGCCAACAGCAGCCATGGAGCTTCGCCTAGGAATTCCCCCTTTACATATCTATCTGGAAAGCGAAGCTCTAAAAACACATCAAGTGGATGAAAAAGGGACCGTCGGTCGAGGGGACACCAAACTACTAGAGTTTATCAAAACACGCAGCCTACGGACCTTATGCCAAGAACACACACAACAAGGTCCAGAATGAGCATGCCCTACTGAAAGCAGATCTATCTATGTCTGCTCACGAATGGATCGAAGACAGACAGTGGGGTGGAAGTGGGCGATTATAGTGCAAAACCGAAAAGTAGGTCATCCATCAGTCTCGGGAACAATGCGGAAGTGCATGCCATTGAAATGAGCGTGAGCAGTCTGCAGAATCGACCCCAAACTCACAAAACCATAAAACTATGTTCTGACAGCCAACCGGCTCTCAAGGCACTTAGCTCCGGGCTCCGGCAGGTGGCAGACTGGGGCAACGGTCTCACTAAGACTTGAACAACATCTCTCTAACTACTGTCTTGGGCTTCATTGGAAAAATAGGCATGATTGGAGAAATATGAATAGACATAGACCCAATGAGTCGCAGTGGAGGGCCGTAATAAGCCCACTCATTTTCGACCTAACTTTACCTATCCTAGATTATATATTTTTATCTCATTTGATCAATTTTTTTCAGATGTTCTAAATTCATGAATATGAAATTGATTAAGCTTAATCAAACTACAGTAATAATGAGCTAAAAGCGAACACCATTTTAAGCCTATTTACTAAAAATATAAGCTAGAAAAACAATGACATATTTATAAACACGAATGAAAAATTTCAAGAACATTATCAGCTCATTATTACCTTATTCGAGTGTCTTAACTGTGCAATATTCCAATGAAGGTGATCGTTTTCTTCGCTCAACGCCTCCTAATTAATTTTGACAATACATTATTTTGCTGGGGCAAATTTTAAATAAAAACCAAGCAATTTTGAATAGATTTTATGGCAAAAGATATACAAAAACCATAAAATAAGCCGTAAAAGTGTGTCCTTACCTTTATCGTATCCCTCAAGATAGCAATTTCTCTCTGCAGATGCTCGTTTTCTTGAAAAAGTGCCTCCATTTGCTGTTGAATTTCTATACTGGGACCTCTCATTCTCATTCGGAGTTCTTCTTCTAATTGACGCACCAGCATTGCTTGTTTCTGCGAAGATAAGAAATATAATTTAAATATTTGTCTTTCCTTTTTATCTTGGTTTTTATTTGATTATATCCGGAATAGCCTAATTCCATTTTGTAATCTTTGTGGCTATATTCTACCCTAAACATTAATTAACAAAGCATTAGTGGGATATTTGTTTTGGGATGGAATAATGGAATACAATTATATAAGGACAAAATCGATCTAACCATAGAGTGTATGTACACTGCAATAGGAAAAATTTCAATTATTTAAGTTCATAACGACTACACAGCAAAAAATATGGATTACCCCAGAAACTAATGGTTTTCAGTGCACCAAATTGTAGTATTGTTTGTAGTACATTGCCTTATCAGAAGAAATTTAATCGGATGGGTTAATAGGAGTGAAATTAATAATCTATATATTTATTGATCCGTACCAACTTTGTGATACATTCGGTAGTATTGTAGATTGTAGATCTAAAACTAATAAGCAGACACCAAAATTAAAGATGATCTTTAGATCTGGCATCTAGACAAAATAGTGCTTAGATCTGCCTAATAAGATACGATAACTATGTTGCTTAAGTCAAGTTCTGCCAAAACGACGAACATTTCTTCAGCTTTGGAAAAGCATCAACACCACAATAATAAGTTTATGGAAACAGATTACCTACCTATTCAGGTAGTGGTTTTTCTCAAAGGAATATTGAGAAATAAATTGGTATTCCAAAAAGATTAGTTTTTAAGGAGCTTCGAATAGTAAAAAATATTTCGACTAGTATAAAATGTTTTCAAGATTTTTTTTTTTTGTGTTTCTCAAAATGCACACAACAACTTTGCAATATAGAAGTTAATGACAATAAAGTTTCACGGCTACATTACGAAAAATCTGGATTACTTCAGAAACTCATGGTTTTCTGTGTGGTCTCATAGAACTGGAGGAAGTTACTTTTCTTTCGTAAAAATGTGATATGGCATTTTCCAATAACCGACAATGCAGCATTGTCGTTGCTAGCAAATAATCGCATCATTTTTGTTAACATTGCAAAAAAAAAACTGAAAAGTTATATTTTATTACCTACTTCTTTACATTTTATTTATCAGTCTTATAATTTTCAAATGATTTCCATCAAGGCACACGCACACGCAAATGTCTTCAAATAATAATAGTTATTTACATTACAAGTGCGTTTAAGAACATGATTACAATAACGAAGGTGAAAGATTAGAACGACGAGGTCGAAGACCGAGTCGTTCTAATCACACGAGTTTTGTAGTTATGTTTAAACGCACTGTGATGTACAACGTTTTATCTACGAAGCAAAAAATAAGAACTTTTTTTCAATCATTTTCGTTTATTAGTAGTTGTCTACCTTCATTTTACCTTTACAAGTTTAACTTTGACATTTGTCAAATCACCAAAAATAGTTGTGGTATTAATTCTCATAACCAAGTCCATAACACCACTAGTTGTGTTATGAATTCATAACCTAGTCCATAACACCACTGTTGAGTTATGAGTCTCAGTATATACTTAACTCAAATACTAGAAAAATGTTTATGTAAAAATGTCATAACCAAACGCTTGTAGATAAAGTATACCTATTACATACATCAAGACGTAATTATCTAAATTTCTGTCTTTTAAACAAGATTACACTCATTAAACAACAACATTACGGCCATAGCTAGATCAATAATGCGGACTTAAATACAAATAGGCTGAGAATTAGCTTTATCCTCGAGGAACAACAATTTAATTAAGTCGCCATAATGGGTGCTGAGTGTATTAATTTAAATTTGCTTTTGAGCACGGAAAAAGTAATTGGTGGGATCTTTAGGATATAGCGAGAGAATATGGCATACTCATCACTTATCACCAATCTATACCAGGTTGGTAAGGATTGTAAGGAATTATGAGATTGCCTTGATGACCTAGAAAATGTTTGTAGGTGTCAATATTATTATGGTGCATTTTTTAGAAAAAGGAACACATCTCTGACAATTTGCCAGAGGCAAGTCCCTTTAAAAAGAGTAATGGCACGGTGCATGCGCAAAAAGACGTAACGTTGGCGAGTAGTAGAGAGTACTAGTATGGCTATTAAAGCAGTCATTGATTTAAAACGAAAACGTGGCTTACCCCTTTCGCCAATTTCTGAAGACGAGGACGTGGACTGAGGGCTTGTTTCTTATTCACAGTAAAACCCAAAAGACGAGACACTTACTAGATCCCGCATCTGTAATGTTATTTGCATCTATCACCGCATTAATTAAACTAATCTGTTCGTTAGCAAATCCTCCGGAGGACCTTTTATTTCATCCCATTACATACACTCTATAGGCAACATAAGAAAAAGCCTACATTTTGGGGGCCTGTCCGGGATAGAGCATTGAAGATTGAAGTTAGAAGATTGGGGCTTGAAGATTGCGGATTGGGATCATTAAAAAAAAAATTAAAACAAAAAAAGTGTCGTTATCAGCAGTTCGTAGAATCTATGTGCACGTGCAAAATGCAGTTTACAAAATGGCTGAACTTCTGTCAAAGCATCCGGAAGTCCTTGATACGAGGGTAGTTGGCATTATTTAAATTGTTCTGCCTCATTGGTTCTACCTCAGCGTCTCTGTAGCGGAAGTGGCTCCTGCTTACGAGGCTATTACCACCGGGCTAGAGAGGAATACGTCAATAGTGTCAAGTGTCGAAACGTTGCTGTTGTTGCCGTGTTGCCACTTGCCATATGGTCGCTGACAGGTAAATATCTGGCCGAGTTTGGAATTTGAATGTAACCTGCTGATTAAGGTAGGACGCATGTATGAAAATTATTGAATTTCGTTGTTGGTTCTGCTTCAATTCCAAAAAACTGCTGGGTTGCTCTGGATAGTGAATAGTAATTATCGCGTTTTATGGTTTCCTTGACCATGAGGCAAAGGAAAGTACCTAGTTTAAAAAAAAGCTTTGTTTTTTAAAATGTTTAATAATTTAATTTGAATTTTGTTGATTTCTGTGAGTTGAAAAATTCACAGAAAGCTGTATTGTATCGTTGTAGATAAGTATTGTTTATTTAGGACTTTCTTTAATTGTTTATGAGATTTCTACCAGCTTCGTAAAGGGGTGTCTTGGCTTTGTATTAGTGTATATTCCTTTATTGTTTCAAGTACATATTATTTTAAAAAGGTGAAGGGTGCCGTAGCATCGAAACCGTAACTGAAACGTTTTCTGGACTTTATTGTTTTTTTTTTTTTTTTTTAATTATTTAAAAGTTATTTAATTTTGACTAAAAGAAAAGAATGACTAATTTGGGTAGTATCGATAAAGTCGAGCAAAATTTAACAAACGCCAAATTAAAAACGATTCAAGGGCTGCATGCCATTGCTTCTGGTAGGGAAGGTCTGCCTCAGGTAGTGAGAAAAAGTTTGCGTAAGTTCACCGGGTTTGGTCTAGAAATAGGTTCCGCAGAATATGACGTAAAAGTAAATAAAGTGAAAAATGATTTGCCTTTAAATGATGTGATTGCAGTGTGTCATGTTTTAAATTTAGTTCATATCTGATCCCCACTTCAGGATGAATTAATAAATCGTGTTTGTTCTTTCATGAATAATTTAAGGGTTGAAGACGATGAAGCAGAACAAGAGCAAGACGAGGAAAATGAAGAAAATAATGAAGAAGAAGACGAGGAAGAAGATGATGATATACCTTTGGCACAAATAAGAAATCAGAAAAGAAAAAGTGGTTCTTTCGCTTTGACGTTCAGAGACGTGAAAGATAGCATTTTACGACCTTTTAATGGAAAACCAGATTCAATTAACAAATGGATTTCTGATTTCGCGGAAATCGCAAATATTACAGGATGGAGTAATTTGCAAAAATTAATATTTGCGAAAAAATCATTGACTGGATGATTGGCCAAGCTATTTGTTCAGTCAGAGAAAGTAATCACGTCTTGGTCCATTTTAAAGAAAAAATTGCTAGAGGAATTTGAGATCAAGATCAGCAGTGCCCAAATACTTACCTACACAAGTTGATGATGACATGAAAAAAAAATTTCAATGAGACTGTTCAGGAATATTTATTGGTGATGCGTGAAATAGGTAGACGAGCATCCTTGGACGCCGAGGTTATTATTCAAAAGGCTGATAAATCCCAATTTCACACTGGAAACTATGACAAATATCAATTTGAGAAAAAAGAAGGTAAAAAAGACGCTCTCAGAAATGACAAGCAGCAAAGGTATAGAAAAGTTAAATCGTTCAATAATTGTTTGAACTGTGGTGCTCAAGTACACCTGTCGCCCAGATAAGAAAAAGGGAGCAAAATGTTTTAAGTGTAACGGTTTTGGACACTTAGCTTCTCAGTGTCGCAATGGAACAGCGTCATCAAGCAATATTGCAGTTATTGATGTTATTCCAAAAAATTCAGTGACACTTTCATTTGGAGAAGTGGAAATTGTTGCATTGTTCGATAGGGGAAGTGATAGTGTAGCATTTTCAATTTCTCTTCAAGTATGCTACTTTGTTTTGCTCTGGTGGATATGATTCCATATAGAACTATAAATAAATAAATAAATAAACGAATATCTTTTCTATGCCAAGATTTTATTACCTTGAGTACAGCCTTCTACTAAAAGTTCAAGTTTTCAATTGTAGTTAAGATCTAAGAAGGTTTGATTCAGTTACGCAAAAACCGCTGTAATGTATTGGAATCTTATAAAAAGGAGAGAGTACTATCGACTCTAGTTGGCAAATCCAATTAATAAATAATCTGAAGTTATGATGGTTGTTGTTTACTTTTTGATTTTTCAGTTCCATCATGCATCCGTCATTGAACAGCTGTCGCTGCCTAGGCGTTTTCTTTAAGACCTGTTCTACCTTTTTGATATAGGTTCTATAGGCAATTTTCAGCAGTCACCGGGTATCTGGTGAGTCTTTTATGTGCAACCCACTCTTCGGTTCGTATTTTTGGGACTTAATACGCCCCTTTCTTAATTTTCATCAAAGTCAAAATTAGAAGTTTGACGTTGGAAG